CTCTTTCCTAGCATGCACATCTAATTTCAAGTGTTCAGCCTGAACATAAACTGAAGGCTAGACTTTTCCCCCTTGGTCTAGGAAAGGCGCCTTCCATAAAATGTGTGAAGCGGAAGCCCAGGCTAATACTTGCACCCCAAAATATGAGGCAACTTCTCTGGTTCCTAACAACACTTTTCTATCTCATGTAAGCAAAGGAACTAAATCATCTAATTAGCAGAATAACCTCCTACCCGGTTCCAATAGTTTATACAAAGTAAACCACTGTGCCCTGACGTGTCTGGAGCCCGTAGTCCTTGTATTGCCGCCCCAAACTCTTTCATCCCCTCACTAGTCTAAGTTCTCCACTTCCATAGAGCGCTCTGAAATATATGTAAGGTGCAAACTTGGTCCCATGTTGTACTTGGAAAAAAGTACTTATTTCATATTCAAAGTAATGTTTAACAAGTAGTTCATTACTGAGACCAGTTATTACTTGCTCATTTTTCTGTAACAATATACATTAAATCTTACATAGATCTCTGGCAGACATTCCTGAGCTACAGGGGACCTTGCTGACTGATGGAAGGTAATAGAATTACTCACCTGAGAAAGGTAAACAAATGGCAGGCACACCACTAAAGCAGTGTGGCTTTAGGTTATGTATGCATGATCATTTTTTTAGAAAGTTATTGTTTGTCAAAACTGAAAATAGTAAAATAAGGTTAAATAGATGAAAGACATTTTTGGCTTGGTATGAGAAAGCATACACAAGTATTACAGACTTGCTTTGTTTTTATGTGCATGTCCTCTGCCTTTTATGCTTGGTTAATCAAAACTCAAGCAAATTAAGTTATTAAAAATGACAAAATTAGCATTCAGTTCATTGCCTACAAACAGTAACTAATTGCAGTAGGCCGGCTATTCTAACGGTCTACCTCCAGCTCTAATTTGTGAATTGTCAAAGCTTGAGGAAGTTACAGTAAGATGCAGTGTTTCGACAAAGTGGGAACTGCTCTCTGGTGGGGACCCTCAGTTGTGAGACAGATAACAAATGAAATAAATAAATAATAATTAACCCCCCCCAGTGCTCTGGAAAAAAAGGATGGAGAAATCGTATCCGAGGCCTCCTCCGCTCCCTACCTATTACAAAGCTGTCCTTTCCTGGGTGGGGGTGATACTGTGGGATCAAAGTGTCAAAGGATGGTCAATAGGCCTGTGATGTATTTAAAACTGCTGGTCACAACCGCTGTGCAAAAGACACGAGAGCGATGATGGGCCTGAATGAAAAGCAGCAGTCTGGCCTGCCTCTGGGCTGTCAGTTGGTTCTCTCACCCTCATCCCCTGGGGGTGGCAGTAGGAGAACAGAATTCCACCTTTGGGTAATTAGCAGTACAACGTGAGGCTTACCAGGAATAGCCAGGTTTCTGAGAGCACTCAGTGCAGCGTGCTGCACTGTTACATTTCCATCCTCCACATGTCTGTCTAGCAAATCCATCAGCTTTTGAACTATGCCATTATCCACCATATGGATGCAGTTTCCGTCTGTGAGAGATGAGACAAGTCACTTGTGAATGGAAGATTATTACTAAGATTTTTACAAGAGCTTTTTAAGAATAGAAGGGCTATTTCCTTGCTCCTTTCTAGATTTTATTGTTGACAATTTGACCACCATCATCAGTGGGAGTTGCAGTGCTCATGACAAATTTAGAAGAGTGATATAAGAAACCCTGAAGAAGGCAGAAAACCCTGAGACCTCTCCTCAGATGTGAAACAGTATTTTTAAAGTAGGCTTAATGCTTTTCAGGATTGTAAAGTATAAAACTACTGATGTTGCTGTACAGCTCAATACCAGCTTTACCGCAACATGCAGTTTTTGTTTGTAGCTGTAGAGACAGAGCATCATAGAAGGGCACAGATAAATTAACATAAGCTATTATGGCATATTCTTACCATTTCTGGCAAAATTTGCAATAGCCAATGCTCCTGCAAGCTGTAGCTGATGGCTATTGGAAGGAATCCATGAAAGTACTCTTTGGAACACACTGCCTTTTCCTCCTTCAAATAACTTTTGCATGGATTCATCTGGGGTAAAAAGCACAGACAGTCAGCAAGGCAAAGAAGTGTTAGGGAAAATTCTTCTCTTGGTATCTGTGAAGCTCTGCTGGCTTCACTACAATTAATCCAGTCCTGCAATGGGATTAGAGACAAAATCTGACCCATTAAATGGTAACTGGCAGGTAGCAGGTCCTCTAGGTTATTTAGAAAATGAAAAAATAGTGAAATTCAGCACCTGAATGGCATTACAGGTATCTGCTGTTGCTTTGCAGAAAGTAGTGACACACTGTACTTACCTCCAAGCAATAATAAAACCATAAGATCAGAAGCTGTTTTAAGCTCTGCAATATCATCCTCTTTGTCACTGTCCACAGTCTTCTGGACGATCTCAAGTAAGCACTCCACCAAGCCTGCTTCAACCAACTGCAGTTTAATGACATCTGAAGAATAGTATGGATAACAGGAGTCAGAGTCATGTTTTTAAATACATCTATTGTATATACATGCAGGACAGACCTTGAAAAGAAGTAGTGATGTCAATGGTTTCACTGACAGCTTGCGTAGATAAAACTGCCATTTTAAAAAAAAAATTTAAATTCTCAGGGCCAGTTTCTGTTACTATTCATCTACCAGGTGCTGCCCTGGCTCTGGACTGCCTTTAGAGCACAACTATACACGGAAGCTGCATGGAGCTGCTCTTCCCTTCTCAAAAATGAGGATATTTCTCTACAGCAAACTTCTGGCATCCCGCAGCAGACTTGTAAGGACTGTGCCGTGTTTGGGCTCTCCAAAGACTTTTCACTGCCTTGCTGAACAAACTTAGGGTTTCTTCTATTTCACGTACAGCAGAGCTACTAACTTCACTGAGACATGCAAGTATAAAATACAGAACTTTTTGATGAAACCTCAGAGCAAATAATCACCCATTTCTTGTAGCCGAGTCAGGATTTCTGCCATTCGCTGAAAGGGCTGCAGGAAGAATACAGTACGGCCAATCCAGTGTTGGGAGAGAAATTTGTTGTGAGTGAAGAAAAACTGGAAACTGATAAGGCAAACTCATTTCTTAGTTGTTATTGGCAGAGGGCTCAACAGAGAAGCTGATAAACATGTTTTTCAGGTGGTGAAACAGGACTTGGGAGCAACATTTTTTCTGTAGTATCTACAACACAATCTTTAACAGATTTTTCCCTGTGAACTTGGAGCTGGGAATGTCTTTTACGTGCTGAAGCTCCCTTTCTGTTAAGTGGGAATGGCAGGTCGTCTGATGCTGTGTTACATCTTTTTGTTATGTGAAAGTGATTTTGGTAGTTTTTGCATGCTGATTTTAGAAAGCACGGTCACAAATCTCTGCAGAAATGTGCGAACAAATGGATTTCTCTCAGCTTTCTGCATGAAATGGTGTTTTAACAATAAGGAGTTTAACCCAAGTTAAAGTATTTTTGAAGGCCAAAGCTTTGGAAATACTTTTTTCCTATAGCTCACAAGTGACAGTTGGGTGAGGAGAAGTGTTCTACCTCTGGTGAAGGATGTGACTGACTGTTTCCTGCTGTCACTAGGCCTTTTGCCTGAGTGAAAGTCATTGTTCCTCTAAGAGCGGCTGACCTTCTCATGAACTTCGTTAGGGAATGCAAAATATCCAGTTAAGATTTTTTTAAATAGGTACTATTGCACTGAGGCACTTTAAAAAAATAGAGTTCCCTTAGTTACAGAAGACCAGGTTGCAGGTTTGCTGTGATTTGAAATATAAATTGCTACACCAGTGTCCTTAACAACAAAACAAAACAAAAACCCCTCAAAAAACCCCAACTGCCAAAATCCAGACTCTGAAAATACTTCATTTAGATGTTTTTACCTGTTGACCTATTGCTAATTATCTACAAGCAAAAGCACCTAAACAGCACCAGCACAGTGTACTCATTTAAGCATGCCTTGAATCCAGTGGAAGAGTTCAGCTGATGACCTCATAACGTCCAAGCACCTGAGTAATGTTCAGCAGCAGTAAACTTACCAAATTTTATTGCAACTATAAAACATAGTCTAAGAAAAATTAAGCATTTGAACAAAATATGTCAAAACTCGCAACAGGCTGGACCCAATTCTGTATCAGTCTCTGAGGATGGAACTATCTTAAAGCAACGTGTTGGTTATTATGTAAAAAATGAATATGTTTTGGCAAAATGTGCATTTTTAGAACTGAAAAAAGGAACCCTGTTTTTACATACCACTTTAAAAGACAAAACTTCTTAAATAGAAGTTAAAATTTATCTTAATTTATACTATGTAAAACAGACACAGAGTGTGTGTGTACAACAGAGTAGGATCAAACCTAAATCTTTAGAGTTTATAATTCTATCTAATAATTTATTCCATTCAGTCAAGCTTTAACGCTGAGGTGATTAAAACAAGGATACAGAACCATCAAATACTGTGATATCTTCCATATTCAGAACTGCTTCCCACTTCAGTCCAGCTCCACATGTTTCTTCATTTCCCTTAAGGGCTGATGGTAGACTATACAAACCACTCGGAACTCATTTGGGAGGAACATCCCCGAGGGGTGATCGGGCACACATCACTTCCCGCTCTGACTTGAGCAGTGAATGAAACTCGAGTCTCCTGGGGCTACCATAACATACGCCACCAAAAAGCCACATTAAATTTATGTGATCTCTCAATGAACAGTAGGGGGAGAGCGTCCAGCTCTTAGCTCTGCAATTAACGTGCCTCTTGCAAAAATATGTCCGTAGGAAATGGAACTGCTAGTGGTTCTGTGATCCCAGGAAATGACATAATGACTGATGTCCTGGTGATGTAACAGACTATGAACGCTTGAGCCAGCATTTTGCAAATAAATGTTGGAAAGCCCTCTAAAAAAAAACAGAGTGAATCAGAGGTGGAATTAGCATCAACAGTTTGTTGGCTCCTGTCATATGCTCAGACAATTAAGACCCATTCACTTGATGTGAAACTGTCATCACAAGGATCAACCATGGCAGCTTCTGCACGAGGCAGCCAGTTACTCTGCACGTAGTCCCTGAAAAAGACACTGATACACCAAAGTACACATATATATATATGTATATAAGGGAATGAGTAAAAAATAGTGTAAGAAAAAAAAAATCAAATCCTCACCATTTTCTGCCAGGGGAGCCAAAACTTCAAAAATCATCTCTTTTTTATCATGCTCTATTTGCTTCTTGAACAGCTTCACAAGCTCTTCGGCAATGTTTGTGTACGCAAACTGCTCTTTACTTGACTCTGTGAAAAAAAAAGGAAAAATTCAGTATCAAGTAAACAAACCACATCAAAAGGTAGGACTATTTTTTTCTTTTTATTACCAGGTTTATTCAGTAAGATGACTAATAGTGCTGTTCACAGACAAGAACAATAGACTCGTGCTTGTCACTAAATGAAAAGAAAAATGTCTAACACCTTAAGATAAATGTACTTACCTGAATTATTTTTGATTAAGGCTGTTAAAAATATATAAATATGTGATCAAGGCTGTTGGGGCTGTTTCTACCCAACAGAATGTAAAGGTAACTATAGAAACAGTAACATTACAAAAATATATATTAAGTCTTTGATTCCCCTCAGCTTAACAGGAATCTAACAGATGATATACTGTATTTTCTATGGGAGAGATGAAGAGTCGTGCTGAATGCTTTAATGTTTACAGGGTTTCACGATGGTGACATTTCCTTTGCATGGCTGTTGCAGGGCCGTTTCATACTGCACAGACAGCATAAAGCAGCTTTACAGATGGGCTAGCGTGCTAGCAGGAGGTTAGCCAGCAGATAATGGTTCTTCAAATGTAGATTCAACAAAAGCATCTCTTAGTCCATTGCTCGTATCTTATTCCGCCTCACTGGCAGTATTACAGGGGACGCAGGTGGTAGGGCTGGTGTTCCACATTCTCCAGTTGCCACCTCCTGAGGGCCATCTGTAGTTAGAAAACCTTCCAGCACCTTTGCTACTGCTGTAATGGGTGGTTAGGGATTATCTTAATGTAGAATTGACCTCAAGGACAGGGAAAAAGCATGAACTGCAGACCTAGACCCTTTTGTGTTTTCTCTCAATATGCGTGACGGCATAGCATATTCTAAGTGGATTTTTGACCTCTCCAGTATTTTTAAAAGCAGAACCATCACACTCTTTATTGGGCTTTTGCCCTGCTTTGACACAGAATGAGTTTCATATCATGATTCTCAAGGGATCTGTGGAATGCAGTTGTCTCTTCAAGTGATGAAAAATGACAACCTGACAATAAAATTCCCTGAAGTTATGAGGCAAAAATAAAATATTACAGTTACAATGAGATTGACTACACTATTGCTTAAGGGAGATTAAAGTATTACAAGCTAAATTAATTTTGTGCCAATCTTAAAGAACGAGCATCTTCTCAGCGTATGGGAACAGGAAGGGAAGCAGGTCCTGTTAAGCTTCTTTCCCATGGTTCTTATTACTCAACTGGACAAAGCTGGATCTTTCCAAAGAGGGAAAGGAAATGTAGTTCTCACTGAAGATACCATTTATTATATTTAATATCCTTATGGTTTTAGTTGCATTTTAGCACTAGAATTTCCAGTATACAACTTGTATTATACTTTCTGCTGTGCAGGCCCAATACATAGCGCCCATCTTGAAGACCTCTGATCTATTAGTTTCTTTAGTGCTGTTTTGATGGCTCTTCTGTTGTTGTTTTTATTAAGTAGACTTGTCTGACACAAGCAACGGTATTATGCGTGTGATCAGACTACACTAGATAACATGATATCCTCTCTGGCCTTGAAATCTTTGAATTTAGGACACCTGTGATTAACTTCAGGCCACCAAATAGCACAAACTCACAGATATACTTTTCATACTTTGAACTGCTGAATCTTCTTAGAAATACAGGATGATATTATAACTGCTGTATGATTGTACCCCAGTGCAAAAAAACTTGTAAGACTAAAACTTCACGGAATAGGTTAGCAAAAGAAGGACAGCAATGTAAACCACAAGTGATAATAGAACACAGGCCCTAACAGCCTGTTGGTTTACACTTTGTGGGATTCCAGTGAAAACTAGTCCACTTGCAAAGGCATTGGATCAAAGCAGGACCTCAAACTTCAATGTAAATTAAGTTGTAACTAAACTTGCTAAAAATAACATCTACTGCTTAGTAGTAGTCATGATTTATACGTGCAAGTATTTAGACTAGAACATGTTAAAACTCTACACAAAGAATATTGTATAGGCAGATTTATGAACTGTTCCTGTCTCGGTTTCATTCAGTGATTTCCATGAGCCAAATTGCCCAATATAACTTTGTGGAGCTACACCAGGATAGGTTATTTATATTATTAATAAATAAATCACAGTAAGTAGCGGCGCTCAGGAAATACTGTTTAGATGATTTAAAATGGGCTTAGTTGCATTGAAGAACGTTAACATAAACCATAAGGTTGTACTAAGTACCTAAATAAATTTCAGTTACTGAAATGGAAAAAAAAAGAGACAACTATAGATTTTAGAGACAATAAACAGAAATTGCTTGCTTTAAATTTTGAATGTACCAAAAGGAATGGAACAAGCACCAGTGCAAGGCTTTTGTTAGTCTTAGGTTTTAACTTTATGAAAACTGGATGTAAATTTGAGATTAATATTGTGGACTTACCAAGTTCTGCTAAATTGCCAAATGCAACAAGGCACATCTCTGTCAGAGCTGCATTTTGGCAATGAATACCCAACAATTTCACTAACGTAGGAATGACACCCATGTTGATAAGCTGTGACTGCAGGGTATCTACATAAAAAGAAAGTACAACAGTGAGTTAGCATTTCTGTTCGTAGTACTATTCTTTAAACCAAAAAAGCATTTTTCACACAAAGCAACTTCTAGGCTAAGCAGCATTAAAATGTCTGTCTCCTCTACTCTTCTATGCTAGGATCTGGTCCAGACTTGAGATATGGACTCATAATACCCCCCGCCCCTGGCAATGACACGTATTCCCAGAAATATTCCCTCCTGATATGGTTATAAGGTATAGTAGATTACACAGCTACTAATAATTTTGTGGTTATCAGGGTCCTAATACATGTTGGGTTTGATTCTGACCTCGCTGAGACTAGCTGACTGAAATCAAATAGAACTACATCAGTAAAATAATTATTTATGTGAGAGCATGTTCCTATATACTGTTTTCCCTTAAAGATCAAAACTGGAAAATTAAAATTAGAATGAATATAAACTGGTACTGAAATAAACATGAAAAGTTTTATAAACACAGGAAGCCACAATGTAGTTTATGAGGAGCTTGAGAAAAAAGAAAGTTTAATAAAGACAAAAAAATGGAAGGTTTGAGAAAAGTCCTTAGAAGCCATTCTGACAATTTCTTGCATAGGATGAAAGTTTATAGTATTTACAAGTAAGGAAGTTATTGCTCCTAGATGTCTGCAAATAGAAAGATGCTTTGATGGTTAGGCAGAAACATGATTGCTTTAAAGGATAATTTATAACGATACTTTCTCTTACACATTTTACCTATAACATAGCAAAGAAGAACAACATTGTTTCACAGTTGAATAGAATGAAGCAGACAAGAACACACCAGATGTTGTTTAGTAATTTTCCTAAGCATCTTTTCTCCTTTGTTTCTAAGCACTTTAACTATGTTTAAATGTTACAGACTCAAAAGACAAGGATCCAAAGCCCAGTGAATTCAAGAGAATTGTTGTTACTTCATTTAGCTTTGGGTCAAGACCTACAGGGGAATTTTCTTTTTTTTTTTTTTTTTAAAGAAATGCTGAGCAACTGACATCAGCTGGCGCTTTTGTATCTATGGAATCAGAGCCATAAAAATTGCAAATTTTTACAGGGAGATAAAAACATATTACAACTTAAGTCTAGCAAATTTAGTATCTTCTCATGTGCTTGGAAATCTTTTTGCCTTCAAGATTCTGCCAAGTGTGCTTGAATTTTTCATATAATAAAATTATTAAAACATTCTGGAATGTTTAGTTCATTTATATTTAGTGTAAAATACTTGTATAAAAATTATCAAGTTGTTACACTAAGTAAGTAAATGGGTTAGTTATTAAAGGTTATTGGGGATGAGCAGGAATCCTTACGGCTTGACATCTTTAATAAAACTGCATTACTTACCAGTAACTGAATTTCCTTTTTTTTGTGGGGGCAGGGGGACATTACCTCTTCCACAGATTCATGGTCTTTAGAGAAATTTAGGAGAACGCTATGTCAGACATCAAAGAGCTGTTGAAGATGTCAAATTTCAGGTAAGTACAAATTGCACTAGCGCATGCATTGAATGCCATTTTACCTCTGGCAGATGTGTGAGTCACTACTACACCCTCCTACTTCATTCCAAACCGACTGTAAAAATCTATCTCTGAATAGGAAGACTGGGGAGGGGGGAGCTGGAATGGTTCTATGGAGAAAATGATTGCGTAGGAGAACTCAAGTTACTGGTAAATAATCTGTTTTTGTCCTTGGTTTGTGATTGTTCCCTGCAGACACTTAAAAATTCTGAAGGAAAAATGGTAGTCATGGAGAGTAGGAGAACAAAGACACAAACCACAAATGCCATAGAAAATTATGTGGGAAGAAATTGCTTTGTTACTAGACTGTGCCTTTAGTCACTCTAAAATCACTTTATCCAACTGTAATGGACAGAGACAATTAATCTCTATGGGCTTCATTTGGCAAAGTGTTCTGACATTAGAAACATAAACTCTCTATTTTGAGCAGGGTTTTTTTCCTGCTGTCCCTTAATACAAAATATATAAAAAGTGCAGAGGAGAAAAGGAGTGGAAAAAGGGAAACTATATCCATCTTTGAAAGAAAACAGGAATCTTAGGAGCCAAACAGAAAGATATATTGTTGTTCAAGAGAGCGTGGAGTGTACTGATTAAAGGGCCTCTAGAATTCCCAAGCAGGAAAAAAGGAAAAAGAAAATATACCAAAGAACGCTTGTACTGGGTCAAAAGTCAGGTATTATACCTGACTCCATACCAGTCTCATTTCCCTAGAGTAGAAGGATGGCACCTGAGCACAGGAATGGTCTACAGTGGTAGGAATGGGATTACAAGAATTGCCAACAAGGTAAATATTGATGCCTTAACCGCAGTACACAAAAGGATAAATTTTCTCCTCTGCCAAAGACAGGACGACCCTGTGAGTCACAGAGCTGCACAGGAGGCAAATCCTTTGAAAAGGCTGCCAGCAGCTATTTGCTATGTTTATAGTTAAGCCTGGGCTTGCCATACATATTCCAAACTTGTCATTTACATCTGTCATTACCACCAATAGGATGCTCTTTCTCTAGTAAATACAAGAGCAAAGTCTATTAAGAAGTTGTTTAAAAGTACTAGGCTTCTCACTGATGTGGAGACCTACAGCACTTTAGTTCAGAGAAATGAAAACCATCTAAGTGGTTCAGTCTTAGCTGAAGGGACTTGACAGCAGTCCTCAGGCTCCCCTGTGAAAAACTGCAGACTGGGTAACTTGGAATAACTGCATGTGTCAGCCTTTCCTTGCAGGAAGTCTTAAGGCCCTGCTAGAGCAGGAGGCAAATTCAGGGGACACATGCATCCCTCCTACAAGCGGTTGCCTGACACAGGACTAAAGTGAGCCACGAAGCCAGGCAACATCTTGTCTCAGGATGAAATGGCATTTCTATCAGCTTCCTAAGCTGCGCTTCATGCATCGCGAGCTGGAAGCATGAAAAACTGAACGCCTCTTCTGAATTTATGACTTAAAGCCACAAAATAAACTCCCTCAAATTTTACACTGCTATCACATGTTGCACTAGTAAGATGTCTCTGTGTTCTTTTGGGGTGAAAAGCACTGACAGTGATGCTGTACAGATGCATATACAGGTAGATAAAAGGCAATCAATACATGCGCCAGCACAAAGAATTACCTACCTAAAACTTGAATTTCAATGGCTCCGTGTCCTTCGGTGACACACATGGAAACTCCAAAAAGTAAGATCTGGGGAGAATATCCCAAATTGAGAACTTTATTGGGGGCATTTGAGTTTAAAATGCTGATTTAGGCTAGTTCATGACTTTGGATGGGATTTCAGAAAACCACTAGTCATTTCGGGTTTCATCAGTTACTGTGATTATAATGCTAAAGGAAAATTTGTTTTGTGCAAATTGGTGGTATAATTTCGTACCCTAGAGAATCCTGCTTGCAACCCCCACATCTGTGTTAAATCATCATATAACATATAAGTGATTGTATTGGTTACCTCACTATCTTAAGAAGCATACTTTTAAATCTGCTTTTATATGCTTTAGGTTACTTTGCATTTGTATATTTAGGTCTTGAAAGCATGCTAGACATCTTCAGCTGTGATGTAAATGAGACAAAAACCACGGCAAGCATGAAAATTAGCAAAGGTAAGTCTTAGAAGGAAGCATTACTGAAATATTGCTGTTAGACCGTAATAATGGTGCCATAAATCTCCCTTTCATTTCTTCTGTATTTACACAGCTTCTACAGATGGTAAACAGTGCAAACTGGTCCCCAAGATTCATTCCAGTCAGTAAGAGTTTTGTGAGAATAAGAAAGGCTTGGCAGTTGTATGATTTAACATCAGAACATTACATTTTACAAAGGCACTGAAGGAAAGACAGCCTCGACAGACTGAAGTTTAATATGAAATGAGATGAGGAAGCAATCTATAAACATAATTATTTTTATCTACGTATATACGCCCACATATATAAATATATGTATACTTTCACATATGCATACTATATCCAGTTAACTTCTAATCTCCAGTTTGACTACCTAATAAGCCACTTGGCCTAGTTATTTCATCCTTTCTGCATTTCTTTAGAAATGCTTTCATGGTTTGTTTTATAAATCTCAAGAGGCAATTAGCTACCTTATAGACTGATCCCATTAACTTGTAAATAGTCTTGACTCACAGGATTATGAGACCTGCAGAATATACTCACGTCACTAACTCTTTTACGTGAGTGTCTGCATATGATGGTTAGTTTTATTGGATTAGTTATTAGTTTTTCACTCTTTATCCAAGCCTGCTTTGCCTCTTGCTCTTAAGCAGATCCATAGCTACACAGAAACTGTATGTAATAACAGAATGGCAGAAGCACAATAACATACTGAACCCACTGAAAGGTGCCAAAACAGCAGCTTTAAGCATGGGTGCTCTGCACCCCAAATAAAGTTTGCATAGCTTGACAAAGAAAGAATTATTATAGGTTTTTGTCAAGGCTTCCTTCTTTTGAGATTAAGCTATGAGCAAAAACATTCACAAATGTGTGTGATATGTTTGTTTCATTCCTAGCCATAGGAATGCAACTTTGCATTTTAAGAACTGACAATGGAAAGCAGGGATGAGCTATTTGTGTCTGATTGAATTTGGATAGTAAGATATGATTTTACAGAGGGTCAAGATAATCTGGGCTGAAGGCAAAGGGATGTGTCTCATCAGAAAACCCCTCTGATTTCTAGCAACGCAATTAAAAATCAACGCTTTTTTTTTTATAAGCTTCAAAGAACCGCAAGAGATGCCAAAGCTGAGTTTGTTCTCTTAACATAGTAGTGACTAATGACATTATAAGATACCAAGGAGGCAAAGGCAGAATTGAGAGACAGCAGGCAAGAAAAATTCCTGAACGCAAGCAGATAGCACAAGAACCTTGTGAGGGGAATCTTAGTTTTAAAGCTTAGACAACAGTGTTATGAATGGAGTTACAATTGCAAGCTGAGTGTCCAGAATTGGGATGAGATACAAGAATGCTCCATTAATTTGCTCTGTTTAGGAAAAGAAAATACTACTCCTAGCTGCTCTTTAGTTGCCATTTTTGTAAAACTCATGTCATAAATCCCTATGCTAATTCAAAAACCTGAAGTGCTCAAATGCGTCTCTCATGTTAAAAAATTGAGGTAGTTGATAGCTATTAAAAATAAAGTAGTAGCTATTGGAAAAAGAGGACAATTAGTTGACTGGGAATGATGAACTGTTTAGAATAAAATAAAAAAAATTGTATAATCTTTGCTCATAACATACTAAAGATTAGAAAATATTAGGGTTTTCGCAGACAGCTAGATGTAACTAAGAACCAAACGTGCTGTAATTGTCCTCATCTGGATAGCTAGTGCAACTTAAAAGACTGCGAGTCATTAAAAGTGGTAAAGAAATCTTCAAAGTCCCCACCTGTAATTTTGTAACATAACATGCTAAGCAGGAAAAGATTACAGAAACCAGAAAAAAGAAGGCAGAAGTGCTATTTCAAAGACTGAAACACTTCCTTCTTACATTGCCAATATTTTTTCTTTTATTTTTGTCCAATTTATTTCCGTAACTACTGACAAAGCAATCTGGGACTCCAAGCTGCAATTCCATACTCCTCATCCTTCAGCAAACCCCATGCAGTGTTTATCTTCTTCGTAAGTAACATGGGATCAAGCCTTTGCAAGTAAATCCTGAAAATAGTATCCGCTAATCTGTAAGTGCAATTAACTGTCAGGACAATCTGAGTCTTCATGTGTGACAAGCCAGCAAAGAACTGCATTTACTCAGAATATTATTGACCTGACGCTGCAATGCGTGGAAGTAAGTGGTTGTCTTGGGCTTATACCTGACATTGACTGTTGTCCTGAAAAGTTACAGTGGCCCGCAGGTGACATTTTTAGAGCAGTTCACAACTATGGTCCAATTGTACTTGCGGCTCTTAAGACAAAACTGGCAAGACAGACGGACTACCCATCTCCATGCACGTGCTGCAGGTATGGTCGCCAAGTTTTCTTCTAAAAATTTAATCCTCCAACTTAATTTTTTAGGGTTTTTTGGGTTTATTTTGTTTTTTTTTAAAATATCGATTTGGCAGATTATTTGGGGTTTAATTCAGTGGTTGCCCCAGTCAGTGCGCAAATTCACAGTGGAACTACAGGACACAAGTCTTACACAGCATACCCATGGGTGCTGAGCCAAACAGGAGCTAGGCCCCTACCAAAAGATCCTTGTTCATGGAGACCACCAAGTATTGTGGGGTAAGGTGAGGGTTTGGAAAGCCCCCAGCAGTCCTCCCTGATGTGGTGGTAGGACAGGATGGTGATGTGCACCCAGACCCAGGAGCTGGGAATACTCTTGCATTGCTCACTTCTGACATTGCTTCAGAGGCTCCTGTGAATATTGCATCAGTTAGTTAGTTCGTGTGAGATGAAAGATGTCATTTAGCAGAGTAGAGAGCAGCTAGTGAATCCTCCTAGCTGTCACTGAACTACACAACTGCTTTATTGACTGCATCAGAATAAGCTATCTTACTAGATGGAATGAGTCATTTATTCAATGTTCATAACAGTTAAACTGTTCAGAAGCTGCTAGTTTGGGAGATTTATCTCATGATTAGTTTTCCTAGGGAAGATCTGCTGGGAGTTGGTCACTGAAGCAAAACTGATACAGTATCTCTACACAGCATTTTTGGACTGGTCTGTCTTGAGCTCCTAAGTATACTGGATGCTCATTAGTCTTAATCCAGAGGATTCTGGTAGCTTAGAGGTAAGAATATCTATTTGCTCCAAATATTTTAACAAATAAAGGAAATACGGAGTTAACACTATGAAATGTAATAAAATGTGACACTCATGCAGACATCAAGCAAAACAGCTCCTGAAAAATATATGAAATAAAGGAACTAGAAAGTTGCTATTTGTAGAGGAAGGAAGAAGTACTGTAAGCAAGTATTCTTAGATAATACTAGGAAAAGAGGAGAAAAAAAAGAATGTAAGAACAAGAGAAAGGGATGAGATGCATACAACAGTGATACTTGCAGGTGGGTAAGTAACAGGGAACAGTAGAAGCGAGATCTCCAGAGAGGTGGCACAGAAAACACACAAGGAAGCTATGCTAGAAGATACGATAAAGCAGATTAAAAATTTATACAGCAAAGGTAAGAAAAAAAAAATTAAACCTCTGGACCATCTTGAAAAGTAGAAGAGCTCGGGGGACAGAGGTTTGGAAAGTGAGTTACAGCAAGCAATAACTTTAAGGAAATGGTGAGCTGCTAATAAAGAAGCTATTTTTTCCTAAGATAAAACACTACAATTCAGAAAATGGGCATGATTGAAGAAACAATGTGATTAACTAACTACATTTGCAATCTGTGCCATTACAAGTCAGGAGAACAGCCTCTATTTAGCTTTCCTCATTTATCCCAATTTTCCTAGAGATTCAAATTTTGAAAAACTTGGAAACGTGTGAAGGCTGTAAAATATGCTTTGGCATATTACCAAGCATGCGTGCAGAAGCAAACTAGGTACTAAAATACCAGTACATTTGTACGACTAGTGTAGAATATTATTTTCTTACCCTCTGTGGTCAAGGATTTCTTACTTAAGATACTGTCTTGTGTTTTTGTCTCAGCCCCTAAACATCTCCATTTAATGGGATAAAGAATATAAACTTATGATTTGTAGACACAGAAGAGTGTTGAACATACACATAAATTATTCCCCATTTATCTTAGAAGAAAGTAATGTGGTTTTATATACATTTCACAAGGAGAAAAAGGATTAAGGAAAACTGGCATATATACCCTCAAATCATCAACAGGACAACCCTGCATACCCGCAACAAATTAGTCTTATGGTGCTGTTTGATACTAAATAAAAAAGAGAGGACTTAGTGTAGCCTTCTAGTTTACTTCTGTAAATCTATTTTTTTCCTAAGGTGTATGATACATCTCCATGTATTGTTTTTAGACAAAGAAGTAAATTCCAGATGTTGATTTTAAAACTTTATACGATATACTACATGGAATTGCATCAGGACGATATCTAGTATTTTTGGGAACATAAATTTACTGAAACAGAAAATTGTCTATGTGAATTGAGGTACTTGATCTTTTCAGAATAACTTAGTGTTAGTATCCACAATGTAAACCTAAAGTTGCCTTTAACTTTTATCTTTTTTCTTTTTTTGATGGGGTTGTACTCCTGGTAGACATAAAGCAAATTTTCGGTGTTGTTTACCATTCTCATTGCTATAGTTCATCAGCATGCCACAAAAGACAGTCAAGAGCTTCTCACTGGCTGGATCTGTTTTACTGCACAGTGACCTTATATGGTCTACTACAATATGTGCACCACCTGCACGGTCAACTGCGTTCCTGCCCTCATCTGTAAAACAAAGAGTTACATTAAAAAAAAAATGAAACCAAAACCCACCTTAGAGTCCCGAACATAACAGTAATCATACAAAACGAAGGTTTTAAACAGAGTGAAGTAATTTCTCCAGTGTTGTCAAATTCATCTAGAGAGATGCTTGAGGGCCAGCTTTTAGTGCAACAGAGCTAGGGAAGTAAAAACACCTACAACAAAAGGGATTAACCACCTGACACTAATACCTTTGTAAAGAAGTTCAGTGTTTGAGGCAGAGCCGCTGGAGCCAATAAATGATATTCTCAAGATACATCGGGTTTTGCCAGAGGGAGGTTTGAGCACTTTACAAAGCCTAGTCCATACACCCTTGTGGACCATGTAAATTACTCTTGCAGTTATGCAGATCAAGAAATTGAAATACAGGATATAAATTGCTTAGGTTACTTAAAAACAAAATGGGGAATAAAATGGACAAAGCAGACAGAGGTACTAGTTTCCAGTCACAAACTCTGTTCATGCACTCACTCTGCCACACAGCATGTTCTCTGTACTTCTATACCTGAAATTGAATACCACTGTCAGATTCTTTTTGTATGGCTAAAAGAAAAATGCACTCTGCATCTATAATAGACTACAATGTTCTGAGGTTTCGTAAATAACACACCATAATCTTTGTATGGAACTCTTTCTGTATAACAAATCAGATTTGATGTATCAGTGTAAGAATAAAGGAAAAATTGGCCTTCTTATTACAGTAATCGACAATACCACTTCCTTTCCCAGCAGGCAATCGCCAACAGACAACAGTCAATAACCTAAATTCCAGGGCTTCCAAAAGGAAAGATTTCCAAGAGAGTTAGAGTTGGAATCAACTGGAAAATCTGGATGAAAACAAAGCCTTGGGGGTAAAAAGCACTAGAGAAAAACTTTTGCAAAATAAGAAAAAAACCTCTCTCCTGGATTTCTACGTGGAGGTCAAGCTACCAGGTTTTCCTCATTCTGCAATGTGTTCAGTATGAAAACCAAGGTTGTCCGCATTTGTAATATTCTCTTCTACTCTAGTGTTCCGGAGCTCTGCAAAAAGAAGTTTCTAAATCTTCCAATTCTTGTTAATACTACTTATGAGGCATATATACTCCTTACATACTATATATATACACACACATATATATATAAAAGGATTATAAGTATAGTATGTACACCTACACTATATATATTCAGAAGTATAAACATATACATATATATATACACGTGAGGTTTATATATAGTGACTTCAGATAATTTGCTGAGTGGAGCTGAACGAGGAAGGGTAATTCTTGGCGGACTGTATTAAATTTATTACCAAAGTAATAAGTGTTTTGCAGAATAACTGAGATACATGCAACAGAGGAAAAACATCACTGCCATGACTGTCTCCACGCAGGACATGATCAGGACATCAAGGGACTGTGTTTCACTGCAGGTATGCATATTCCATTTTGAAAAAGAAGCAACTGGAATTCAAGATAAGATTCTGTGTCAAGGAAGGACTATAAAAATGGAGAAATATAAAAGAAAGAAGTCTCTATCATGCTTGATGCAGTGACAAATGCAGGCATAATGCTGAAATGAAAGGAAGTCCTGCACCAAAATATTGTGAAACAATATAGTCAGGTGTTCAGACTCAGTGTTTGTGTTTACAAATTGGCAGAGAAAAAACCAAACTTGGCTGGAAGATTCCAGCATCCTGTTTTATGCATCCTCTTCTCTTTTTTTATTACAGAAGTTATGCAAATTCATGATTTTGTATTTGACTCAGCTGTTCTGTGAGTCAAAACAGGTGTGCAAAATGAAACTGAATCACTGATTACGGACAAGATGGACTTAATGTGGTCCTCAAATTACTATAATGCAATTGAAATCAACAAACTAAAACCATGATAAAAATAAGCTTGAGATAAGAACCAAATGTCTAGCTTGTTCCCATGTCTCGATATGGAACTGCATATAAAACATGTAAGCGAAGAGTAATATAAAGGTAGTCGGGTGAGGGTTTGGAAGCAAGGGTTAAAAAAACAAAAAACAGTTACAAGCCAAGTCCTTACCTGGATGGAATTTGGTACAATGCTGAAAATAACTGTGTGATAGTATCTTACAACAAATGAAAATCTAATTCGTATACCCTTTTACTTCCATTCTTTCTGGTTTGTCAAAGAAGTTATATATCAAACACTCCTGTATCTTCAAGTGCATAATAGTCTCTCACTTCCAATACATGACAAAATTCTTATCCACACATTATTTTTGTTAGGTAGACAGATAATCAGCTTCCACTGTACAGACAGCAAAAGCAAGGCAGAAAGATTCAGAAACAAATCTCACTCCAAGAAATGTCTTTCTGTCTCTATAGTACCCTCAAAAAGTTAGGATAAAATGAACTTCCCTCCCAAGCAGGTGGGTAGGCTGTAAATGCCAGGCTTTGACGTGACTACATAAGCTGGTAGATGTGTAAAAGAGATGTCTTAGTTGAGTTTCTTGCTCCACCTCTTTCCTATGCTAGAGCTCACCCTCTGTAGCTGCTTCTCTGCCCTAGGCAGCTGGATCAAAACCAGACCTGGGCTAGTGCTATAATTAGGTTCTCCTGGTGCTGCCTTCTTATGCCCAAGAGGATTAACTCGGCTCATTAGCACAGGGCCACAAAGAATCCCGTACCAGATGTAGGAGGAAAATTCTGAAAGTCCTGACTACCCACTCCAAGCTCAGGCTATGACACCCCATTGTATGCCCAAGCAGAAAGTGTAATTCTGACTCAGAATGCTCCATGTACTTATTACCGACTCGCTTCTCCCTGCTCCGTCGCTAAGAAACAGATTTTGCACACCAGAATACTCACCGAACTCCAAATTATTTACAGTCAAAACAAGACCACAGCATGTTGCTGTGTCTTGTTCTCAATCCAACTGCTACCTTGCAGTTCAGCAGCTCTATGAACTCCCACACTTAATGTGCTTCTAGCCTCCCAGAGGCTGTTGAATTTTTTCCCTGTGACCTTTTAAAATAAACATTTGCTATTCCTAAGAGATCAGTGATTGAACAGTTTAATGAAAGCATTCACATTTCTGCTTAAAAATGCTTCACTACAGCTCACAAAGGGCAATGCTGTTGTATAACTTTTTTTTTTTGAAGTACACGTAATACTCTTTAAAGATGCCAGAATGACAACAACCCAAGAGATCAG